TTTTTTTTTTCTGAACTCATAAAGCAAAGGCAGTTTGACTCGCTTCGGGTCGGGAGCGATTCTTGCAGCCATAACCGTTGCGAAATGCTCGGCAGATATGGTGTGGAGAGCGCATTGACCTGCACTTACACATATTCCGCAGTGAAGGTCCTAGAGCAATCCCCAAAGATTTCACAACATGGAAACCAAAATGCGCAAATACTTTTCCGACAACCTAATAATAATGGCAAGGTATAAGAAAGATTCTGAACTTGATTATTTCAAGGAAATTCCATGTATCGATGAAACCCGAGTCGTCATACAGCAGGACGACGATGCTGAATGTGATTATATTCATGCCAATAGGGTAAAGATGGATAAGGTTGGTAATGAGTTTACAAGTTTTGAGCAGTCCAACAGCACAAAGCGAATGGTTAAAAAGATTTTCAGGCTGATCGGGAATTTATTATGACACAAGTTCCCAAAACAAATACAATTGAGGATTTTTGGAGAATGGTCTTTCAAGTGAGTAGGGCTTTACTTGGCTACAAAACCTTTATATAGGTTATGCTGTGATGAAAGTTCCTTTTGGCGTTTGCCGCATACCTTCCTCCTGGAGAACGGTGTCCCGCGCTTACGTCGAAACTAGTCCACCATACCCACTTCGCGCGCGGTGTAGCCCGCTGCGATCTCGAGATAACATTGCAGTATCACTAAGTGTCAATGGAGCCAATGATTTGCACTAGTTCGTGTTTCATTCTCTTTAAGCTGACTGCTTTCTAATTTCATGGACCAAACGCAAATCGTAGGCCCTATTGAAAACTGCGACGTCTGTCAAAAATTGACGCTGACGCGCCGCATGCGACGGTTGCGGCGTGACCTGGTTTTGACGGACGCGCGGAACGAAGCGCACCCCCTCCCCCTCCCCCTCCAATTATGGTACTACCTCCCTCCTAAGACTAAGTGAAAAAAAAATCTGGATTCCTCTGGCTAACGAACATTCCTAAGCAATGCGCTCACCGCTAAACGCTATACTATAAAAGATAACAGTGGAGGGGTGACAACGAAATGGTGATACTCCCTTCATAAAAAACCATTCAATTAATAAGTTTCAGCAACAGTGCTCTGGTTTGGTCTTATTATGTAATTACCGGGAAGAAAGCACACAAAGTTGCGAGGAGTTCTTTCCAACAGATGCTGCTGCTTATAAATACTTTGGTCAAATGTTCGTAAACACTAAAAAAGTACGTTCACCTACCTTTTCACCGCCCTCGCTAGTCAACTTTGCGAAGGGTTTTAACGAACAAAACTTGAACTCTGACGTAAAACTGGAAAAAAAGACAACTAATCATTGGTCTTATAGGTGGATCATCTCGAAAAAACCAAAATATATACAATCGAAGTATTACCTGATGGTTGTTCTAACTCCTTCGTAACGCAGCTTGCTCATTTTACCTCGTGGCCTGAAAAGGTGAGTCCTATCAGCCATGGATTACGGTACTATCAAACTTTTTCGCTATCCTTTGGTGATGGTCACAATAAGCGATCAGCGAGGCACGGTCGGCTTGGGCGGAAATCGTTCCCAGCATTTGTTCCGACGTGTGCGCTTCTTTCGCGCGTCCGTCGAAATTAAGTGACGCCGCAGCCGTCGCACGCGGCGCCTCAGCTCTCGACGGACGTCGCACTTGTCAGCGAGGCATACGACTAGCGCTTGGTCCAAGGCAGTCAGCTCGAAAGGAAGATAACACGGACTAATGCAAATCATTCGCTCCACTGACACACAATGGTACTGTAATGCCATCCCGAGATCGCAGTGAGATGCGCCGTGCGCGAGGAGTGACCTACATTCGATGGACGCGCGGAACAGACGTTTCCTTTGTTCCGTCTATGCAGGTGCTAATGAAGCCACTCGGGCCATCCGCAATCCCTCCTACATATTGGCTGGTCGTAAAAAGAGTAATTCTGACTTTATTCAGGCAATCCCAACCAATGTTCGGATGGTTTTGAAATTGATTAGATGGAGTCACTATTTAGAGGTAGTTGTGTGATTTTTAGGGTTGTACTGGTGTGTCCCTATCACTGAATCAAAATTTTACTTTAGCCTGGTCCTATCGGGGTTATCTGTAACGCCGGCGTTGGTCGAAGCGGTGCATACGTGGCCATAGATGTCGCTTGTGCTCGACTTTTTAAAGGATATCAATCAAATGTAAGATGGACACCATGATCCAGAGGTCTTCCCCGAGACGTATAGACAAAAGTGTTGCTTCAGATGAAAGACATTGCATTGGAACTCCGGCGGCAACGAGCATGCAGTATAGACAATGAAGTGCAATATTTCTTTGTTTACTCTACCGTACTATGTTATATAAAGGTAAGTTGGTTTGGAAAATGGAAAGGAAATTTATTTATTTATTTATTTGGTATTTGGAAATGGACATATCCTGATTATTGCGAAAGTGTGGTTCATTTCTTTTCGGCCTTCCTCGAGAACCCGATAATTCTGATCGATATCGATCACTTAGGACCGGGAGGCGGGCAGTAGGAACGGTTTTGGGTAATCGATCCTGTCAGGCTGTCGCGGAGCGTTTGCCTAGTTATAACAGTTCTAGCGTTCTTCAAACAGCTCAATCGCTATGCGCTTATTACTTTTGACATGATTACTACTATGTCTATCTTTCCTGTATTTCTTAATTGTTGCTGCATACTGCTACATTCCTTCGCGCGCGGCGTCCTCTCGCCGCAGCGCGACAATTTCGTTCCTACTGCACCACACCCCTTGGGACCACACAGTTCAAGCGCCCATGTTTATACTCCCTCGACGGTATATTTCGCGGCGTGTTTCTGTTAAAAAAAGATATTGGTGTAGTAATTATTGAGTGATAGGAGAGAGGTTCTAGGGGTTTAGATCACTCATTTCAAGTTTGTTCCGTTCACTTCACTTCATTTTAAGCACTGACCAAAAGCAGCTCCTGTTTTCCACGGACATACATTAACTCTCAAGTATTTGTTTTTCATTATGTGCCACTCGAAAAACCTTTTCTTTCTTAGAAGTTTTAGTTGAACTCGTGCGTCCGTGAGAACTTCACTTTGATGGAAATTTGCAGCTTGTGCACCTTTTTTTACAAATATTCATGAGTTTCAGGCAAAAATGCCGAAATATAGCAAACAAGTGTCGAAATTCTACGCTGATTTAAAGCAAAGGTAATGAATTCCGTTTTTTTTTAGCCTAGGAAAACCTAAGCGAGTACTCATAACGAAGCAATACAACCTCATCATAAGGAACCCCTCTTTCCCTGTACTTATTCTAATTGTTAAATAAGTAGCCTACTCGAGTAACACGTTCTGAGAAGCTACTTAATTCTACAGTGACTCCGTACTCCATATATGGTGGCCATGAGAGCAAGTGTGATGACCTTTTGTGATTCACTCTAGTTTGCAGTGGATTCGTACAATGATCCTCTGAACAATCTTCCGGGCGTGGATTTATATGCCCGCACGGCAGCCGGGCTCGCGTGTTGCAGAGTTTAATCACTGATTCGAGCGCAAAGAGTGTATGTCATTTGGCGCGATCTCTCCCATCGCGCCGCCCATTCCACGCGGGTTGCGAGCTGGACAACTCGTCCACGCTCCATGAAAACCCAAATAGACGATATAAACAGGGAGAATACACAGGTGCAGAATTCGGCGTCTAATAATAGCGGCGCCGTCAACCGCGTTTCTATCACCTGGGGAGGCAGTGGGTCACCCGATCACTTGGACGAGTTATCCAGCTCGCAAACCGCGTGGAATGGGCGGCGCGATGGGAGGGATTGCGCCAACCGACCGCCTCCCGAGCGCAAAACGTATAGGTTATATTTGAATGGTTGCAGCACGATTATTGTGGGTGGTTACGGTCGCTGTAGTTTGATGCTGCGAAATTTCTATCGAAGACTTGCGACGTACATGCATGCGTTCGTGGGAATTCAGGCATAAATTCGGCCAATGGATTAAGACACTTTGGTGGTTGATTTGGGAGAGATCCCAGTCCAGCTAAACTCCTAATCCCTACTGTCGTACCTCATTCCAAGTTTTGCGTGATGAACTTGGTTCACAGGAAGTTTATTGTTGAGCATCGACAACAATTAAGTCGGCGATTTTCAGCAACTACTGCGGCGGCGAACATCCCAATATGACGAAATCTGAATCTATCGAACAGCAATCTGCCTGATGTTGGCAGCTGTCTATGTCTACGTGGCATGAATCAACAATAAATCTAGTGGGTCAAATTGTCACTACATACTTCTGATTTCAAGAAAATGCGGGTCAAATTAGAAACACCATTGGAAATGATTTCTCTAAAGAATCTCGTAAAGCAGGCTTCTACGACTGGGCACTTTCAGAGTATAGCGATGAGCGTTGAGCGCAAAGCGTTGCTAGCCACTTGTTGAAAACTCTGGACGCCATCTGTAGGCAACACTGTGCTGCCGTCCGCGCCGCCACTGACAGTCTTGCATTGGAGCATATTATTTTCTGCGTACAACAGCCCCGTTTGGAAAATGACATGATTCAAGCCAAGCGCTCGGCGACGGGGAAGAGCGGAGGCCAACAGAGGATTGGGGTGCCGGAGCTGTGCAGCAGTAAGTAGTCGACCACCGGGTAAGTCTTCCAGGGGTTACTTTGGGATGGGTGAGCAATTACGATCGTGATGTAAGGATTAGGAGTGTGACAGGTGACAGGGGTCGTGAGAGGCAGATCCAGTAAGAGATAGGATCAGAATGGCGGCCGCAGTTCATTCACGAAGTACAAATCTGAAAAACTGTTTTTGAAATACCCACTTTTTCATTTTTTTTTTCTCGAAAAAAGTCCTTCTAAAACACAGTACAGATTTTGGATTCCCCAAAGTATCGTGTAAGGGCTCAATATGAGTTTTATGTTTTCAGATCGCTGCGGAATGATAGGAAATCTCCTGACAATTTCTATACCTATTCAAGTTTCTGGTTTAGCGGCAGTATTTCGGCTTCATAAATGTTTTTTCATTGAGAATGAACGTTGGGGCATAGAATGGACAAGTTTGTTCAAATAGCTAATAAATGAATGAATAAATAAATAGCCATACCAGAAACTATCTCACTTTCGATGTATGCTACTCGTTCTATATGCAGTGGGAAGTTGCAAAAGCATTCAGGCAATTATTGGTAGTGCTGGATAAAACTAGAGGATACTAGAAAGCTATGCATGTCCGATTTTGAAAAAGACTGTAGACGACAAAATGTTCGAACGAGTAGATCAGCTCTCTCCGCGTTTTTTGGACACTTCTACCAACTTATACTCCAACATCTGGATTATACTCAATGAGTTCTGGAAAATTTGGTAGTCAACATCCAATAGCTTGACTTCTAGTTGTTCAGGATAAAATTTGTTAAAAAAACAGTGAGAATGTCGATCGGGGACTCTTCCTCTGTTCTTGCGTCTCTTACGCCATAGGCCCGAGCACGGCCACGCATGGTACGAAAGGAGAATCGGTCGTGAACGGGGTTGGTTAGCAATGGAGGCAGCAATGAGTAAACTTGCCCCATCCAAGTAAGATCAGTGTGGGTGGAATGCCTAGAAATGCTGAAAGATAGTGTCGTCTCCGTTTTTTGAGAGAGTGAAACTGTAACAAACTGTTTTCACCAGAAAAAAGAAATCCGTGGTTTCTGTTGAGTGCCGTAAGTGGACGGCATGTGGCGAGTGTCAGGAATACGGGATTTGCGAAAAAAAAAATAGAGGAAGGGGTTGCACTCGGGTTGCGAGTATTTCTAACTTCTCTGCGTCTTTGCGAAGTAGCTCACAGTGATTCTTGACAGATTGTGAGGCTGGTGGCTTCTGAAGAAGTTTCATATTGCTGTTTGTTTATTTTCAGTGGTAATGTTGTCACAGATGAAGGCAAACGAGGTGATGCAATGCTCCCCATTCCTGTGAGATCGTTTACTTTTACCCCCTGCTGGTTTGTAATTGGTTGCCCTCTGATGTTTTAATTTTGCCCACGTGCACCTTCAAACGCCACCATAATTTTTCAGGAGAAATGGGTTCATGAACTCATGGCTGGAATAGTTATTGCTTGTATTGAAATATATGGTGAATATGTAGTGGAAGAGTCGTTCTCTTACCTTCGTCTGTGCCATCTCAGCGTTTTTGACGTCCTATCTAATCCTCCTCGAATCCAGCTTTTCGGAGGAGGTTAGCAATTCACCCTCCGATTCCTCTACTATCCTTAGGCTTGACTGTAAATTCCACCCTCCTAGCTGGGAACCGTTTCTAGCACCACTACAAGGCACAAGGCCGGAAGTAAGCTTGAAAGGCCAGCACAAGCCTCATCTGCTTGTTAGCCCGGGCCCACAGAGTACACCGGAAGGTGCTTTTCTCTCATCTCTCTCCCTCGCTGTCCCTCGCATTTCATCTTCCCTTGTATTTTTGCACAGCTCGGAATTCGGAGGATTCGACGGACTCGAGTTTCGTGATAAAATTTCATGCATTTGTTGCACAACCGTAGACAATGGATAAGTCAGATGAGTTTTGCACAGAGAAGATCGGGAGTGGGGATAGGCTGAAGGTAATGTGAGGAGTCGAAGTCGATCTTCCCTGCATTCCTAGGAGCTATCAATCTGTGCTCAATACTCTCTCAAGTCATTCCCTATTGATGTCCACTGGAGAACTCGCTATCAACTGGTCATGATTGCGATGGACCGCAAGGCACACAACATAGCGGGTAGTTGCTGTAGTTGTAATGCGGGCACCAATGATGTAGCGGTATCATTGTACCCTCCCACGGTACAGACCCGGGTTCAACTCCCGGTTGGTGCATACTTTTTGCATTTTTAGTATAAAACTACCTATTCGTATAGGATACTAATCTGCCTTCAAAATGTCTGTAAGTTTGATATGGACGAATTCCAGAGGTGTCAATTGTGGGAACTTAGGTGAATTCTATAGGATGTCATGGTGCGTGAATGCGACTTGTCAGTTCGGAGGGCATTTGAGTAGCGGGATCATTGTACACTCTGCTACAGTACTGACCTTAGTTTAGGTCCTGGTATGTCTTAAGGCCTTACCTGTCGCTAACTTCTGCAGATATACTTCATCTCGTTTTTTCCCACCTGTTTCTTTTTTGAAGTTTTTTTTTTCAGAACGATTTTCATCGTTTCTTTTTTCAGATTGTTTTTGGGAGCTTTTTCAACCTGCTACTTCGAGGTGCTATATACAAGAAGAAGAAAAAAGATGTAAAAAATAGTCAAAAGTTGGAACGCAACGCATCGTTCCACTGAGAGCATTACGGCAGGACGATGTTGCCTTACTACACTAGGCTCAGACCCAGACTCATTTGTAGCATGGTGCCAGTCCATCTATTTCTGTACCTGACTATTCGCTTTCTTGAGGAAATCACGTTTTCTTCGAAGCTTGTCTTCTCATCAGTATTTGCTCTAACTTAGTCTCATCCAAAAAAGCCATCAAGTGATCATCCCAGTCCCAAACCACTTACATAGGCTTATGTGTGTTTTTTGGTGCATTGATTCATCACTTTATAAGACATTCCTTGAAGGTATGGTAGTTGGATTTTGCTGGTAAACGGAGCTCAATCTCATGTCAATGAGCATGTAATGCTTACGGTCAATACCGCACTCCTGTTTCCTGAGCTGTAATTTTTTTCAGCTTACAGAGACTTCATTTAATTTATTTATGTTTTCGATTGTTTGTAAAGGATTTGTCATAATAAATCTTGGAATCGTTACTCATTTAATTTCGTTGTATTCGGACAGAAAGAGCTCCAAAATAGTGTAAACGTAGGTGTTCTCGAAAAATCTCACAAGACGTTTAATGCGTATCAATGGTACCGGACTCGTTGCAACCTATTACTGAAATAGCAAAAATCCTGAAGATGCAGGAAACTAGGAAAGTTCACTATTTTCGAAGCCGGGTCAAGTGTCAAGCGGGATGCTTCCAGTTTGAATTAGCGAGTAAAGCGGTGGCTGCATTGAGAACACCATGAAGGGACCGGGCACGTGATGTATTTGATCGAATGGTTAGAATCGTTCTTTTCAGTTACACGATAAGGGTTCAATTCCAGGCAGGGCAATGTGACACAGTGATATGGGAAGGTTTTTTGCTTATTTGTTACTTATCGGTCTGGCCCTTCTTAACTAGAGATTTGCAACGATCGACTCGCTATGAATACGATGCACCGACAAGGTGGGTTCAATCGAGAAGTTTGCTCGGCGGTCTGGAATTAGCGGGACCCTGTTAGCTGTGGTCCCTGCCGACGTACAAAACAGTCGCCTAGACTGCAGCACTGCAGCAGTGGTT